GGTTTGGAACAATAACCTGAAACCAGGTTGGCTTTAAAATATTACTTACTACAACATGATTAAGAAACGTTAGGAACTCTTGGTGATTTTAGCACGCCCGTCTACAATAGCTATAGGGTTAATTTTCACATGCTTGTATTTTCTAACCTCTTGCCTAATAAAGAGAATCATAGAATCATAGGATGGTAGAGTTGGAAGGGACATTGCAGGTCATCTAGTCCAACCCCCTGCACTCTGCAGGAGCAGAGCCGAAAGATGGCCCTAGAACTATAAAGAGAACTCCAGGCCAGTTTGGCTGGGGACCCTGGAGGTTTTTTGCCATCTTCTGGGCATGGAACAGGGGTCACTGGGGGGAGGGGAGGTATTTCTGAATTTCCTGCCTTGTGCAGGGGGTTGGACTCGATGACCCTGGAGGTCCCTTCCAACTCTACGATTTGATATTTCTTTTTTCAATAAAAGATAAAATCTCTGAAGGTTCTCTGCCTGGTTTGCTGGTTTTAGTTCAAAGAATGGAACTCACAATGGTCTCATTTGTCTTATTGGATTTCAAGGTCCCAAGGGTGTGACCGAGGTGCCAGCAAGGGGCAAGGATGCGGAGTGCGATGCGTCCCTCTCACCTGAGAGTCTCCTTGATGGCCGCCTTGAGGAGCGGCAGGGAGCTCAGGAGCTTGGAGACTTCCTTGGGCCCGTGGGCCTCGGCAGCCTGGATCTCTTCCCGAATCGCTGTCTGGACGTGTGGGTTGCGGGCCAGCTCAAAGAGGGTGAAGAGCAGAGGCATGGCTGTCTGAGAGGGGAAAGGGCACCGTCAGAGAGAGGCCTTCCCAACAGGCAGGTTGCATAGCCCAGGAAGAACCACCAGGCTGGCTGATGGATTCCAAACGAGATCCCATCAGAGCCTCAGAAGAGTCCTGGGTTGGATCAGACCAGGGAAGGTCCATCTAGTCCAACCTCCCGTCTCACTCAGTGGCCAACCAGTTCCTCTGGAGGGCCAACAACAGGGCACAGAGGCCGAGGCCTTCCCCTGATGAGAACCTCAGAAGAGCCCTGCTGGATCAGACCAGGGAGGGTCCCTCTAGTCCAGCCTCCCGTCTCACACGGTGGACAACCAGTTCCTCTGGAGGGCCAACAACAGGACAGAGAGGCCAAGGCCTTCCCCTGATGAGAACCTCAGAAGAGCCCTGCTGGATCAGACCAGGGAGGGTCCATCTAGTCCAGCATCCTGTCTCACACGGGCCAACCACTTCCTCTGCAGGGCCAACAACAGGGCATAAAGGCCAAGGCCTTCCCCTGGGAAGAACATCTGAAGAGCCCTGCTGGATCAGACCAGTGAGGGTCCATCTAGCCCAGTATCCTGTCTCACACAGTGGCCAACCAGTTCCTCTGCAGGGCCAAAAAGAGGGCAGAGAGGCTGAGGCCTTCATAAGACCATAAGCCCTGCTGGATCAGGCCAGTGGTCCCTCTAGTCCAGTCTCTTGTCTCACACAGTGGCCAACCAGTTCCTCTGGACAGCCAACAACAGGGAGCAGAGGCCGAGGCCTTCATTAGAACATCAGAAGAGCCTTGCTGGATCAGGCCAGTGGTCCATCTAGTCCAGCATCCTCCTGTCTCACACAGTGGCCAACCAATTCCTCTGGAAGGGGCCAACAGCAGAGCAGAGAGGCCGAGGCCTTCCCCTGATGTTGATTCCTGGCTCTGGGATTCAGAAGTTGACATGAAGGTTCCCGTCAGTCCCCATGGCCACTGATAGAACTCTCCTTTGTCAATCTGTCCCATCCCCCTTTAAAGCTGTCTATCATATCTAAATTGAAAAGTCCAAAGTAAGAGTTTCCTGAAACCGTGGCTCCAGGTGGAAGCAAGACGGTTCTCAGATGTGTGCAAGCAGGTGCCCTGGGCAGGGATGGCTGTGTGATCCGCTCCCACCCGTGGAAGGGTACCTGCAGAGGGCAACCCTCCCGCTTAGGCAGCAGACAACTGCGGCAGGCTGCCCCTTCCCGGCCCGTTTAGTCGCACCCCCATGGTTCCTGGACCAGCCTTGCCCTGCGCTGAACTCACGGTGTCAACCGCACCCGCCGTGAACTCCGTCATGTTGGCCTTGATGGCGTCCAGGGGCAGGTCGGCATTGAGAAGCAACTCGGCCATGATCCCGGAGTACTTGCGGGGCTTCCCGAGGCAGAATTCCTGGTAGATGTTCTGTATGCACTTGTCCGCTGGGGAAGCAAGGAGACAGCAATGAAAAGAAAAAGGTTTCAGTTTTGTTTTCGCATGTGGGTGGGTATTCTGTTTGTAATAACTGTTTGGATACACTATATCTTTAATAGGCTAGCTGTGATCATTTCATGCCAAGTAAAAATGTCCATAGTCATATTTTATGTTCCTCCAGTAACAGAATGACTTTCAATCGGGAAAAGAAAAAAGAAATGCTAATGTAGCATTTTTTTCAATTTTTCCGGAAATGTCAGTGAAAATGTCCGTTTCCCCCCGGAAAAAACTGGGGGGGAAACGGGTTTTTTTCCGAGCTTCAAAATTTCCGGAAATTTTACATCTCTAGGGTCGACCCTGCTTAGCTTCTGAGCTGTCAAGGCAAGAGACGAACAGAGTTGGTTTGCCATTGCCTGCCTCTTCATTGCAATCCTCGTCTTCCCTGGCGGTCTCCCACCCATGTACTAAGCAGGACCGACCCTGCTTAGCTTCCAAGATCTGACAAGATCAGGTCTCCTGGGCCATCCAGGTGAGGGGAAGAGATGAACACAGGTGGTCTGCCACTGCCTGCCTCTGTGTAGCAACCCGGGACTTCCTTGGCGGTCTCCCACCCATGTACTAAGCAGGGTCGACCCTGCTTAGCTACCAAGATTTCAAGGCAAGAGAGGAACAGAGGTGGTTTGCCACTGCTTGCCTCTGCAGAGAACAGCTGGACTTCCTTGGTGGTCTCCCATCTAAATACTAGCCAGTGCTGACCCTGCTTAGCTTCCGAGACCTGATGAAATCAGGCGACCCAAGTCAGGGCGCAAGAAGACGAGGGTTACAAAAATTAGAGACAACACCAAAAAAGGATCTGACATGATATGTCAAACGATGCAGAGAATGGAGTCACAGAGTTAGAACAGAACAGGAAGCCAGGGACCGGCCGTTGTGGGTCTGGACCTCAAATGAGTCTGAGCCACCTCTGCTACTGGGGGAGCGAAGAGAACTGCACTCCCTCACCTCAACTCGAAGCAAAGCCCAGTGGGGGAGATATGAGATGGAGACATCCTGCTCCCAGCTTGGCTTGCCAGCCTCTCCCGTGGGAATGAACTTCATAGGATAACCGAAGTTGTGTTTAGGGGGAAATAGATCTTCTTTAATTATCCTCTCTCTTTCTTTTAAGTTTTGGAAAGACTTTAATGGTCTGTTACTCACAGGACACTTAAAGAAGACATATTTTCCCCTAAACACAACTTCCTTATCATAACAGGGTTGTTTTCCTACGAAGTTCAGCCTGTCCCGTGATCTCTTGTCCTTGACTTCACTCCAGCCTCTCCGTGGGACCTGGAATCCCCCTGGAGTTACAATTGATTGCCAGATGCGTGTGGTGGGCGGGCGCAAGAGGGGACCCCCGCCTAGGGTGCAAAAAAAGCTGGGGCCAGCCCTGCCGACCTACAGCGCTCAATAGACTGTTTCACTCAAGGTTTCATCACATGAGACCTTACACCTTTTGTATTTTTTCTGCAACTCTCTTTCTTTTAAGTTTTGGAAAGACTTTAATGGTTTGTTACTCACAGGACACTTAAAGAAGATATATTTTCCCCTAAACACAACTTCCTTATCATAACAGGGTTGTTTTCCTACGAAGTTCAGCCTGTCCTGTGATCTCTTGTCCTTGACTTCACTCCAGCCTCTCCATGGGACCTGGAATCCCCCTGGAGTTACAATTGATTGCCAGATGACAGGGATCAGTTCCCCGAGAGGAAACAGCCGCTTCAGAGGGTAGAATCCATGGCTCCACATCCCTGCTGGGCGGCCAGAAGCCGGGGGCGGGGCTTCGTCATGTGCCCCGCCCCCGTACCTCACCCGCGGGAACTGCGATCCCCCGCGATCCCCCCCGAAATGACCTCTGGTTCTAGCAGAGACCTTCCAACTCACCTGGCTGCTCTCTGTCTCCTCCTGCCTGCAAAGGCCATTCTGCTGATGGACGAGAGAGCCCCCAAGTGCCACCTGCCCTCTGGCTGCACTTCGGTCTCATCTACGTCTCCACAGGGTCATGCAGAGCCCTGGATCCTGGGCCCCAGTCGCCCAGCCCCCTGATTCGCCATGGGGTGGCCTCCATCGAAAACAGCCTCCCAGCCTCTGTTAACCAGACAAAGGAGCACCCCCCCCAAGATGCCCGTCACTGCCTTTCTGAACCTGGCCTCTCCCTCCCCTCCACCCCTGCTGAGGAACAACCCCTGACTGGTCCCCTGGAGGTCCCGTCACTAAAACTCATGGATGCCAAACAGACACCCATCCCCTCCCTGCTCTGCCTAGTGCCTGGAGTCCTGGGTTGCCAACCTCCAGGTGGGTATGGAAAAGTATATGACACTGTGTATAATAGATGTGTGCTTAAGGCAGATCTATTTTGTGCTTTTTATTTATTTTTTTAAAAAAATTCTATACTGTTATACAAATACTAGGAAAAAGGCTCGTTGTGGAAATAAATACAACGGCCTCTAGAAAGAGGCTCTGGGCGGGTGCCCCGGCCTTGGACACTCAGTGTCAATTTGCTGTGGTGACCTCAGCAGGGTATAATGGCGCTGAGTCCACCATTTTCTTCAGAGGAACTGATCTCTGCTACCTAAAGAACAGTTGGAATTTTGAGTGATCTCCAGCCCTCACCTGGAGATTGGCAATGATGGTTCCCCAGAAGGGAATAGTTGGTTTGGAGGGTGGAGTCTATGGCTTTGTACCTGTCCGAGGTCCCATGCCTCCTGAAACCTCACCCTCTCCAGGCTCCATCCCTCACATCTCCAGGAATTTCCCACCTGGAGTTGGCAACCCTATTCCTGCCCAG